ATTGCAAACAGGACAACGCAAGCCTTAAGGAAAGCTGAAGAAAGCCTGTTCTCTGCATTTCCAAGAGAGTAGGCTATACTTCCACAGCCTAATGTTGTATTAGTACTAGTTAAAACCCAGAACAGCCCTGAATGAATGGCCAGAATTACCCTGGTCATATTCTAACCACACACTCCCTCTCCCCCCCTTACTTGTTTCTTACTTCGTTTAATACTTATTACACAATACTATTATACAACTACATTTCATGATTATTTATTTTACTTTATAATTTACTATTAATTTATTCATTATTGTCTATTCTGTATTATTCCACCCTTGATATTACATATTCTACTTGCTATTATTCATCTATTGTTATTCATTTAATTTATTTTGGTATTATACATATAATTTATTCTATTATAAATCTATTATATACTGTTGTACTCGCTTTTTATATTATTCACTTTACTACATATACTTTTTAATATTACATATCACTTTTACTGTGCACTGTATCAGTGCATAATATTTTACCACTGTAACTGTAAGTTTTACTGGATCCATAAAGGATTATAAGTTGCATTTGTTATTGTTTGTTGTGGAGTTTATATCTGTATAGAGTGCTATCTTCCTCTCCTAAACCCACTTTGACATTCCGTTATCAAACCCTTTTTTTCCAAAAAATACATTAATCTCTCATTTATCATTCTTTCCATCAATTTGCAAATATGCGATGTTAATGCTATAGGTCTATAGTTTGATGGCTTACTAGCATCTTTTCCTGGCTTCCTTATTGGGATAATTATTGCTTCTTTCCAACTCTCAGGAATTGTCCCTTCTTCCCATATTTTATTAAATAACATTAGCAATTTTTCCTTACTTTCTGTACTTACATGTTTTAACATGATATAGCTTACTTCATCTTTTCCTGGTGCCGTTTTTCTAGTTTTAACTAATGCTCTTTCTATTTCTCCCATACTAAAAGGGACATTTAGATCATCCTCAAAAGACGACCTTCTTTTTTAAAGCTTCCATATTAATAGATTTAGTGCTCTCTACCTTTCCTTCCTTCCACTGACAAATTATTTGAGCTATGTATACTAACAAATGCATCTACCAACATCTCTGCTTTTTCTTTGTTAGTAACTGCATCTTTATCTCCATCACTTAACGCAGGATAACCCACTCATCTTTTTAATCATCCCCCAAACTTCTCCTATCTGAGTAGTACTTCCAATTAAACTACAAAAATCCCTCCAATATATCCGCTTTGCTTGCCTAATTGTTCTTCTTACAACTGCCTGTGCATGTTTATACTGTATCATATGCTGGAAATTATGAGTTTTTTCAATAACTTGAAAGCTTTATTTCTGTTTTTTACTGTTGTTTTACAATTATCATTCCACCATGGTACTGATTTCCTTTTTTTATATCTTTACTTTTAGGTATAGTTTCTATTGCTGCTGATAATATTCCTTGCTTTATTTGTCAAGTACTGATTCCTTTACTGTCCTAATATCAATCCAAGTCTTATTTCCATCATTTAGACACACTAATTCTCTTTCTTCCAATAACTCTTCTAACACTAAACCATTATTATCAGTTTTTCCACATCCCCACAATGTGCTGTGTGCATTAAAATCCCCACACCATACAATACTGTTCTCATCCTGTCCCCCTATTTCTATAAGTTTGTTCAATTCAAGTTTTTACATGGATTATAGTAATTTATGATCGATAATTTTGATTTTTCTCCCCAAATCTCTATTCCACCATATTCTTGCTCACTTCCCCTGCCTATAATTCTATAAGGAATTCCCTGTTTAACAAATGTAACACACCCTCCACCTCCACCCTCTTTCCTATCTTGTCTAATTGCTATATACCCACTTAAAACAAAATCCAAATTAGGCTTTAGCCAAGTTTCTTGGACACATACTACTTCTGGTTTTTCTTCTCTACTGGCTATAAATTGCTTAAAATCTTGCCCATTTGCAATTAGACTTCTCGCATTCCATTGAAGGATTAACATAATTAATATTATCAACCCACCCATGTTGGATCTTGACTTGATTGCACATTAAGCTCATCTCTTACTTCTTCCCACTTTAATCTTACTACATCCAAATGATGTACTGCCGCTTTAACTATGATTTGAATCCTTTCCGTTTTAGATCTTATCTCAGATGTTGCATTTATTACCCCCGCTATAAACTTCTTCTTTTCTTCCCAAATCTTCCTCCATTCTCTATGTTCACATCCATTTTTTCCTTTATCATATTCAGCATCCTTAGCCTGCTTTTTCCCCTCACTTCTCCTGACGGCATCAGCATAAGAAATGTTTTCCTTCACTTTAATTTGTTGTACTTTCACCTCACGCTTCATTACTTCACATCCCCAGAAGGCAACACTATGATTGCCTCCACAATTGCAGCACTTTGGTTTAACACCCTCTCCACATTTTCCATAATCGTGGTCTCCTCCACATCTAGCACATCTTCTTTGTTTTTTACATCCCCTTGCCACATGACCAAATTCCTGTCAGTTGTAACATCTCATAGGCTTAGTTATGAATTATCTTATGTTATATTTAATATAACCAAATTATACCTCTTTAGGGAGGTCCTTACAGTCAAAATCAATCAGAACAGATTCCGTTTCCTTTTTTTCAATTCCTCTTGTCATTCTTTTAGCAGATTTAACTGATCCATTTCGCCTCCTCACCCTCCAACTCTTGCTACTTTAACTTTTCCCACACTGCTCATTCTCTTTTCTTTCTCTATCTGTTTTTCAGGTTTTTCAGAAACAAGCAAGTTTCCATCTCCCAGTACTCTTGCATACTTTACTTCTCCTATTTGTGCTTTAATGATGTTAGTAAGTTTTAATGGGTTAGTTTTCTTTACTCCCCCTTCTCTCTCAAAACGTACTACCACATTGAACAATTCTGGCCTCAAATTATTTACCTCAACTTCTTTTCCTTCACTCTCCGTTCCACCCAAACTATCTGAATCATTTTTCTTTCTTTTACGTCTAGCCAATTTCTTGGTTCTGGATCCCCTCAACACATCCTCCCATTCACTTTCCCCTTCTTGATCTCTACATTCCATGATGTTGATTTCATCTCCTGACTCCCTTTCTGTCATCCTGAAAAGTTTGATATTATTTAGTCGATGGGAAGTAGAG